TCTGTGTTTATGACCAGTTATTTTTTTTGTTTATTATTTTGCACTAAATTTTAGTTAATATATATATTTTTGCACATCATTGTACTAATTTTGTCTTCAGGTTAGCACAAATAAACAAACTCGAGTTATTTTATGATTTGTGGAAATAGGTTGGGAATCTCCTTAATTACAGATCCTTGCTTGTTTTCATAAATAGAAAACTGTTTATTTTATCAGTATAAACATTCTGACAGAACCGTTAGTTGATTTAATATAAAATCAGATAAGATAGTGGGATTTAAGCGGGGTAAAGAAGGGTATAAGATACTATTATATGCGGATGATACATTGGTTTTTTTTTTAGCAGACACTAATCATTCTCTACTAGAAGTGATGTCTTTACTTCTGGAATTTGGTAGGTTCTCAGGGCTATGTGTGAACTGGGAAAAATCCATGTTACTTCCGATTGATCCTCTTCCTTGTCCATTGCCGATGCAAATTCAGCATATACAAATAGTTGAATCATTTTCTTATCTGGGTGTCAGGATTAGAGTAAATGTTGAGGCATATTTGGAAGACAATTTAATATTAATTTTGCAGAAATTTCAGAAACAATGCAATGTATGGTGCACACTCCCCCTTTCGCTGATTGGTAGATTAAATCTCATTAAATGATTTGGATGCCTCAGCTTTCCTATATACTGTATAATTCTCCATGTTGGATTTCTCAATCTATATTTAGGAGGATAAATACAGTGTTTAGGGAGTTGATATGGAAGAAGAAACAAGCACGGATAAAATTAGAAACTTTGCAATACCCTAAAGGAACTGGGGGTTTGGCACTTCCAAATCCATGAATAATGTTTTTGGCCCCACAGTTAGGACACTTGGTGGGTTGGAATCAACCAGGGCAGAGGATAAGGGGTTTGTTTCAAAATAGAGATGGCCCTTGAGACCACTTTATATTTATAGGAGTTTTCAACTTTACCCACTATAAGATTAATTGGTAAAATGTGGAAATCAATTAAGGGGTTATTGGATATTTCAGAATTTACAAAATACACTCCAATATGGGACAATGGGGTACTATATGAGGTAAACAAACTCCAAGGATTTGGAATGTGGAAGAAAATGGGGATTAAGTAATTGGTGCAAATATATGAGCAATGTGTCTTGTGCTCTTTCCAACAATTACAAGCAAGTTATTTAGTACCGAATGCTTAATTTTACAAATATTTACTACTAAGGCATGCACTTACGTGAGGTTTTGTATTATTGTAAATATGGTTATAGATAAACTTCTTAATGCAACTGTGACGAGAGGGTTGATTTAATAAATGTATTTAAATGTATTGCCTGGGGCTTTGAATAAATCTCCCCAATGTAAAGTGGGTTGGGAACTGGATCAGGGGCCACTAGAAGATACCCTTTGGAGGGAGGTGCTGCTTTCAATCCAATTAGTTCCACCGTCTGCATCACATAAATGAACACAGCTGTATATTGTACATTGAACATACCGGACCCTTGAATTCCTATATAGGATAGGACTCAGGGAAGATTCTAAATGCCCAAAGTGTGGGTTTGAGCCAAGTTCGCTGATACATCTGCTGTGGAGATGCCCGAAGTTGAAACGATATTGGCAGGAAATAGTGGACATAATAAATATAGCTTTTGGAGTTCTAATAATCCATTGATATGTATTTTGTGTATTTTTGGATCTTTCAAGGTGGAGTACTATATGAAGGTGGCTGTAATGAGGGGATTGTTTGTGGCTCGGCATAGTATAGCCTTTAGGTGGATCTCAGCAGCCCCTCCCACAGTGGTTAAATGGGGAATCATGTTAAACATAGAGGTAACATGGATAAATATGGTAAAATGTGAGATAAGTGGATTGAATTTAGTTTGGAGTTTGGTAATAATGTCTGCTTTATCTGTTATTGGTATTTTGTGGAGAAATTTAATTTAGGTAATATGGTACGATGATAATTTGTTTTTTTGGCTTTATTGCATTAGTGTTTGTTTTTGTATTGTTTTAATTATGTATTTATGGACGTAAAAGTGTTTATTATGTATTGTATTATCAAAATAATAAAAAGTATTAAAGTTAAAAAAAAGTTTTTTTGTTTGCTTCTCTTATGAAGTTCTTCATTGGAACGGTTTTAAATATGTATATGATTGCACAAACATTTGAAGATTTCAAATTTCAAGATTCCATTTGAAGATTTCATCTAAACTTCTTTCTGTTCCTAGAAACCATGGCATAGCAATCACTCTCTGCTCTGCAGTTACAGGCTACCTCATTCCTTCTTATGTATCAGGGGTGTTACATAACTCAATAGTTTCTAAAAAATATTCATCAGGCATTCGTAAGTAGCTGAAAACCATTAGGATTGCTTTCCTTTAGTTCACGTAGTAAATCCAAGTGAGGAAATTATTCACGGTTCTTGACCCACTTCTTGTCCACATCCTTCAGTTTTTATTCCTCTTCTTGTTTTTCTTCTGGATGGCTAAAGCACCTATCATCAGCATGATGCTGATGCTCAATAAATGCTTAATTAAATGCTGAATAAATCACAATAAATGCTGCTCCTTGACTGTGGGGGTCTCAGGTGGCCTAGTGGGGTCTCAGGTGGGCTGTGCAGAGTCTTAGGTGGGCTGTGCGGAGTCTCAGTTGAGCTGTGTGGAGTCTAAGGTGGGCTTTGTGGAGTTTCAGGTAGGCTGTGCAGAGTCTCAGGTCGGCTGTGCAGAGTCTCAGGTGGCCTGGTGGGGTCTCTGGTGGGCTGTGCGGAGTCTAAGGTAGACTGTGGGGGTCTCAGGTGGCCTAGTGGAGTCTCAGGTGGGCTGAGGGGAGTCTTAGGTGGGCTGTGTGGAGACTAAGGTGGGCTTTGTGGAGTCTCAGGTGGGCTGTGCGGAGTCTCAGGTGGGCTATGGGGGGTGTCAGGTGGGCTATGGGGGGTATCAGGTGGCCTGGTGGGCTGTGCAGAGTCTCTGGTGGGTTGTGCGGAGTCACTGGTGGACTGTGCAGGGCCTCTGGTGGGGTTTAACATTTTTGTATTATTTTTTTTTTTCATTTTTATTAGTTTTTTTCCATTTTAATTTCTTTTATTATTTTTTACTTTTTTTCACTTAACTTTATTGCTATCACACAGGGGATAACAAGCACCTGTGTGATAGCATTCGGAAGTGACAGGTTCTCTTTATGAGCCTTCCCGCCAGTACAGACTCAGGACATAGGGAATGCACTGGACTCGGGACATCGGGAACGCCCTGGACTTGGGACATAGGGAACGCACCGGGCTCGGGACATAGGGAACGCACTGGACTCAGGAACACACTGGACTTGGGACATAGGGAACACACTGGACTCGGGACATGGGAACGCACTGGATTCGGGACTTTGCAACACAAAAAATCAGAAGTATACTCACAGATAATACAAGCCCCGCCCCTGCTACCTGATTGCCCACTATGTCTCCGTGCAGCCTTCTGGGCCCGCACTGAAGCATTTACTGATCATACAGGGCTAGGCAGGCACATGTACATCTGATGCATCTGAAGGGATGCCGGGAAAGTCCTGTTTTATAAAACATAGGGGTCAGTGAAAAAACATTGAGCTCTACTGCAGCCGTTATGCTCTTCTCCTGAAAATGCCCCGATACATAGAGCCGCTACCGGCCCTTTAAATGTTTTTCAAATAGCTTTGGCCATTGACCCACATAGCCCCTCACCCGGAATACCTCTCCACCAAATGCAGCCTCCCTCTCCGCTCTGACGGGCGGTAAGTGTTATGTGTGGACAGTCTCTTCTCCCTGCTGGTGCTGGCTGCAGCGATCTGTGTCCCTTTCACAGAATGCTGTAGCCGGCACGAGAGGGGAGAAGAGACTACGGCTGTGACTCTGCCCCTCCCCCCCCCCTTGTACCTTAGCTGCTGCTGCTCCTGAATGAAAGAAGACAAGGTTCGTTCTGTGTGTTCACGGGGGAGGACAGGAGAGAAGTTGTAAATCTTGACTACACACAGAACGGACCTTGCCTTCTTTAATTGAGAGAGAAAACTTCTGTGTACGTCTGCTGAATGCATTATTAAACACATAAGGAGCACGGACAGCTGACACTTTGAGATATATAACCAAAAGGAAACAGTTTCATCAAGTGGAAAAGGAATGGACACTTGTAACAATAGCCAGCCTGCTATTGGATATTTTAAATTGCAATAGCCAATAGCAGGCTGGCTATTGCACCCGCCCACTGCCTGCTGTCAATCAGCAGAGAGGACCTGATGGAGAATTTTGTCTTAAGTTCCCTCCTTTGCTGATTGACAGCAGGCAGTGGGCGGGTGCAATAGCCAGCCTGCTATTGGCTATTGCAATTTAAAATATCCAATAGCAGGCTGGCTATTACTCCCAGCCACTGCCTGCTGTATTTACATTCAGCTGCCTCAGCGGCTGAACCCAGTGAAGTGGAAAGGTTACACTAAAGGTCTAAAAGACCCCTAATGTCACCTTAAAGAGAACCTGTCACCTCCAATGCACGCAGCCCTGGTGAGAAACTGCCCTAAAATCATTAGTCTGTATTGTTTTAGAAAAAATGCCACATGTCCCTTGAAGAAAAAGTATCGGTAATTGGTATCGGCAAGTACATGAGGGACAGTACTTGAACTTGGTCTTGAAAAAGTGGTATCGGGAGATTCCTATCAATAATATATGCATCAGAGATATGGCTGTAGGTCAGATCAGGAGGACATAGCAGGATTTTCAACAGACCGCAGTTTAGCCAGGGTGGAGCTGAAATTAAATGTGGATACATAGCAGGATTTGCAACAGACAGACAGCAGTTTAGGCAGGGTGGAGCAGAACTTAAATGTGGATACCTGAGGGGAAGAAGAGTTGACTGAGAACTGTTGTAAGTTCTGATTCTCAGTGTACTGTATGCTCTCTGATCTCACTCTGGGATCATATTACCAGAGTTGCTGTCCTATTGATTCAACTGAACTGACTGAACCCTTTCAAATGAATTAGGTTAAGTCAGATGAATCGATTCATCCAGTTCACTGAAAAGAATCAATTCAAAAGAAAGATTCCTTCATGAACTGGACATCACTTTTCCACACAACCAGATGCCCAGATGCTGTTAGGAGGAGGTAGGATGACACCTATAATGTGCAGTCAGAAAAACAAAACAAAAACTAAAGTGACTGGAGCATACAGCGCTTTGTAGATCTTCCCATCTCCACCCTTAGCTCTGCCTATACACGCATCACACTTCCTCTATTTTGCAATGGCTCATGGGAGATGTAGTCTGCTTTCTCTGCCAGGATATGACACACACTGGTTACCTAGATCTGCCCCCTGGCTGCAGGAAGGACTGGTCTGTACATAGGTGGATGTGACATCACTGGCAGCTAAAAACGTAAGCACTTTTATGATAAATGGTCACAGCAGTTTGCTTCCTTCCTGACTGAGAGGGATCTAAATATATAATGTGATGTGCATTTCGGTGTTCTTCTTTAATTCTCCTAGATACAGTAGTACAAGTGATTGGCTAATAAGATCACATACATACACAAACAATGCATTATTTCTCTGCATCCTGAGATGAAACATTAACACTCATAACATTGGCTTGGCAAGTCAGCAGTTTGGAAAAAAAATTAGAGGTTGTTTTATAGGAGATTTTCAGCACAGTAGAATGATTAACTCCTTCATGACGGGAGACGTACCCTGTACATCCCATCACAACGTGCCTAAATGACTGGCCACGTACACTGTACATGACCAGTTATTTGCGGTTCTGTAATGCTGGTAACCGCTGATTCTCTAAGATCAGTCTCAGGTTATTATTAGTTGTTCCTATGTTTGGAGCAGCCTAATAATAACCAAAAATTTAAAAAAGTACATTTATCAAGCAGTCATAGTGACTGCTTGATATAAACTGACAAAAAACATGTGTAAAAAAATTAAGAAAATAAAAATTATATATAAATATATTCTATTTTTTTTCCTCATTGTTGTATTTTATTCAAACTAAGTGAGGGGTTAGGTACACATTTGTGATATAATTATATAGCTATTATTATACAACATTTCTAAAAAATTATAATAATCAAAACGTGTGAAAAAAGTTTTTTCCTCATTTGTTTTATATTTTATTTGAACTAACTGAGGCGTTAGGTACACATATTTGATATAATTATATAGCCCTATCTGTCCTCTAAAAAACAATATATAATATGTGTGGGTGCATTTATTAAGAAAGTATATTACGGCCATGGAAGAATCACACAGTACAAATTCAAAAGTGTGTCAGTCATTTACAAACAGAAAGTGAAAAGAAGCTCAGTCATGAAGGGGTTAAACGGCTTTTCAATAAACCCACCAGTATAAGGACTCCTTTTGCATTGCCTCGTGCAGTTCACTCAAATCTTTCTTTGGTAATTTGGATAGCTTGAATTTGCCACTGAAGGGCTCACTTTCTGGTTTTGAAAATTTCACATCAAAAGCAGAGGTAGGAAAGTCAATCTGTAGATGACCAGAAAACAGGGAAACAGACTTTAGAGAAATTATACTGTCAACCACCAGCTTCTTCATCCGACACAGCTCAAATTCATCTCTGTATCTGTATTCTCAAAGAAACATTTTTTTCCAACTTACCTGAAAAATCCATATCTTTTAGTATGGCACAGGACAGAGGCACCTTTTGGTCAAAGTCACTGGGTTATATGCAGCCACCTTCAGGTGATTGGACACTGGCACACAGAATTGTGGGACAACCCAAATAACCCATCCCACCCCAACAATCCTCAGTTTTGTAGCAAGTAATTAGAGGAAAATTGCCAGGGCAGAAAGGAGGTTGTCCTGTATGGGGTTTAATAAAGTAGATTTTATAAGAAATTCAAAAATGTTATTTTCTTAACCATACAGTACAGGACAAGTTCCTTTAATCATAGACACTAGGACATCTCCAAGCAACACAACTGAATGGAGAGAAATAGGGATGCACCGATACCGTTTTTTTTTGGTATCAAGCACGAGTACCGATATTTATTTTTCGGTACTCGCAGATACCAGTACTTCTGCTATCATGGAGCCAGCTTCCCAGCCAATCAGGAAGCTGGGTGTCGTGTCATTACCTGCCGTTCGGATTCTTGATTGCCCAGGAAGCCGGCTGCATACTGTTTAGCCAGCTTGATGCTGGCTGACCAGGAAGCTGGGAGATTTCCTCTGACCGCTGCGAGGGAACATGGAGCCAGCTTCCCAGGCAATCAAGAAGTTGGCGGTGGGTAATGACATACCACCCCGGCTTCCCGATTGGCCGGGAAGCTCGCTCTATGCTCTTTGGCCAGCTCGATGCTGATTGGCCGGGAAGCTGGGAGATTTCCTCTGACCAGCACACGAGGGAACATGGAGCCGGCTTCCCGGGCAATCAAGTTTCCAGGCGGTGGGTAATGACATGCCACTCGGCTTCCTGATTGGCTAGGAAGCTCACTCTATGCTGTTTGGCCAGCTCGATGCTGATTGGCCGGGAAACCGGCTTCATTACCCACCACCTGGCTTCTTGATTGCTCGGGAAGCCGACTCCATGTTCCCTCACGGTACTGCCGGTCACAGAAAATTTCCCTCTGACCGGAAGTTCCGGTATCGGGGGTAAGTATCGGAGCATTTAGGAGAGTACGAATACTCACCCAAATACTCTGTATCTGCACTGATAATACTAGTATTGGTGCATCCCTAGTTGGAAACAGCAAAGAACACCAACAGGCTCACAAGAACCAACAAGGGAACCTAATCATGAACAAAAAGAGTAGCCTGTAGCATTTATGGCCAACACTGGCATCAGCAGAGGCCTGAACATCCATCTCGACAAAGCTTAACAAGCTAATGAACTGAAGGCCAGTTGGCACCCTTGGAAACCTGAGAAAGAGGCGCCTGACACTGAAAAGCTCAAGAGGCACAGATAGACCTAATCAAGTGAGCATTAACAGGAAAGAGAGAAACCCTGTATTTCAGGGCATAAGTTTTAGTGATGACCTGTCTAATCCACCTAGTAATGGTGGAAGACGCCCCTTGCGGGAGCCCTCAGGCTTGACAAAGAGATTATCCATATGATGTATAAAGACAGTGACTGAAAGGTATACTTGCACTGCCTGCAGCCCATCCACACCGTGCAGAAAAATATTTTTGGGATGCTATGGAGCAGGGCAAAAAGAAAAACAAGCCAATGTCCTGATTAAGATGGAAGGAAGAAACCACCTTCCTTCCATCTTGGAAGCTTTCACCAGAGAGTGAGCAGCAAGAGGCCTCATAAAAAAAATAGCCAAGGCTGAGATATGACCATTATTCAAGGACAAGTGTAGATCCAAAAAGTCAGACAAACTCCCAGTCCCAGACATAAGGATCACCAAAACGGTCTCCATTTCAAACCTGTGGAGCAGTAGAGAAAGAATCTGTACAGAAGGGAAGGCTTACTATCAGACAAAATTGATCCCATGGGGTCACTACATGTCCACTAAGAAGGCCAGAGGATCCCTAGACCGGGCCATGACCCTTTCCACCTTGTTGTTAAAGTGTGATGCCAAAGATCCACATCTCGTATTCTCCAACAGTGACAGTGGTCTTGAAACACCTTGGGGTGCAGAGTCCATTCCCCTGCATCCAGGTGCTGATGACTGAGAAAATCTACCTGCCAATTGTCTACTTTGCAAATGTGGACTGCAGACAAAGCCATAAAATGCCTTTTAGCCCAGGACAGAATCAAGGCAGCATCTTTTCAGGCCATGTGACTGTGTTGCCCTGATGGTTGATTAAGTCACTGTCCGACTGAATCCTCATAGGTCGTCCCTGAAGCCGGCTGGTCCACCCCTCATCTCCAAAATGTTGATGAGAAGTTAGAAAAAACAAAACTAAGAGGAACGGGGGTACCAGAGGTAATAATAATAGAGGATGTTTTCCAGATGGACTCCTGGCTGGACCTAAGGGCAACTGAGGAGTGTAAACTGAAGTCTAAAGTGCCAGAAGCAGAGTTACCAGGGGAAACCTGGTGAGTTCCTTCATGGCTCTCTGCACTGTGTGTGCTGGCCTGCCCCCCTAGTCCCATTTCCCTTGTGTCTGTCATCCGCTATTGTGTAGCCCTGAGGGGTACTCACAACCTCTGCTGTGGAGAAAGGATTCAGCTGACCTGTGTGTCATGACTGAAGGCTGCTGGATAGCCTAGTGAAGGCCTGCTTGGCATCCCAGGGGGCACTGATATGGAGCAGTAGGCTGTATTTGTGTATCCCCTGCAGGGAACATGTCTGGGCAGGGCTGAACCTACCTCGAAAGTGTTGAATCTTCAATGGCAGATGCGACAGACTCATTAATGTCAATGGGGAAAAAAGTATTGCACAGTTTTACAAGTCTTATTTAAATGGTGCAGTTGTTGTGTGGCACACGACCCTGGCCCAGGAGATGCACTGCCTACCTCTATGTGTGCAAAGACAGGGTT